ATCAGGTTTGTCCCCATTTCAAAGAAGAGCTGGGTTGGCACATACCTTGCCTGGATTTTAGTCATTTTGGGGCACAGTGAAGAGAAAAATACTCTCTAACAAAAACAAATGTGAATGTCAAAATTCATGAGCAGAAATACCAACTTCAGCAATTATTACTGGGAAGTCAGCAAGCACTTGTTATTCAGGGATGAAGCCTATTTCTTTCTTGCTGCCAAAGTTTTTCTCAGTTCCTCAAGGTTACCTCTATTTCCATTTTCACAGTCTAAACACATCCTTCTGATCTCCAGCTCCTATTCCTTGAATTCCAGTAAATCTTCTGATCTCATCCTTTTCTTATCTTCCTTCCTATCTTATTTCCTTCTTTTTACCTGAAGTCCTTAATTTTTAACTCCAGAAAAGCCTTATCACTGCTACAAGCCTGCTGTACTGTCAGAATAAATTTTCTACTAAATCAAAAAAACCCTGAGCTTCTTCTTGTCAGTTTTGCTACTCCATCTTACAGAATCACAGAATTACAGAATATCCTGAGTTGAATGGGACCTATAAGGAGTCCAGCTCCTGGCCCTGCACAGCACCATCCCCAAGAGCTGCACCATGTGCCTGAAAGAAATGTCCAAATGCTTCTTGAACTCTGTCAGGCTGGTGCTGTGATCACTGCCCTGGGAGCTGTTCCACTGCCCAACCACCCTCTGGGTGAAGAACCTATTTCTAATATCCAGTCTAAACCTCCCCTGATACAACTTCAGGCCATTCCCTCAGGTCCTGTCATTGGTCACCATAGATTTTGTTCTGTGTCTGGTAAATTCCTACTATTAGAAGATATTATCTGACACCATACAGATCACCAGAGAAGCCAAAATCTCAGGTGTTGAAATGCCATGTAGAAAACTGAAAATGTATATATAACAGAGGGCATGAACGTTGAGCAACATATAAACCAGACACAAAGCCTCAAGGAGGGAAAGGCTTGCTTGACCATCACCAGGTACCCATTTAACACACAGCACTAAGATGGCTTGAGGCTTCTCTACCCATAGCACTGCCCTGGGTGTCATGTGTTCATGTGCCTTTGTGGTTCTCAGCAAATCACAGCTGGGAACTTCCTGTCAAGAGAAATAAACCATGAGGACAGAACTGACACACCAAAGCTCATGGGAGCTTCCAGCAACATGGGACACATTTGTCTGTGGCTTCCACTGCTGTAAACCAGCAGTAGTTTCAGTAGTTTCACGGACCTTCAGAGAGTTCCTCTGCTGCAAGGATTCTGTATGTGAGCAGAATCAAATGTACTCTGTAGATTTGCCCAAGTCCCTCAGCCAGCATTTCAAAAACAGCTTATAATTTTGGCTGCCTCAATTTTTGAGTGTCTTGGTGTCTTAAAAGACACTAAAAATAAAGAGCCAAAATTACAGGTTACTTTGCACAACTTGGGCCTCAGTTTCTCTGTACTAAGTTCTGATGTTACTTGGACTTACTTAGAATTGAAGTATGGAGTAAGTTTCTTGAACAATACAAAGCTCCAGAAAACTTTCACCATATGGGAGCTGACTTGCACTCTCTGTGTCTCAGGTCACTCAGGTTGGAAGATAACAATTCCTTGGCCTGATAACAGACTTGTGCCAAATAGAAGTAATGTCATTGTTAAGTGGAATTGCAGACATTTGATAAATTATTCAGACCTGCTGCATGTTTGTATGTGTACTGAAAACTACCGGTTTTCTGCACATGCCTGAGTTCAAAGAAATGTGATATTAGGGATCACAACTAGCAAATGAAAAGCCACATGAGACACCACTGTCAATAATCAACAAACCAAAAAGCATGGGAAAATACACATAAACTCTTCCATCCAATGAAAATAAGAGCAGTCAGCTTTCTTTTAATTTAGGAACATGCTGTGCTTGCCTGGGGGTTGCAAGGGCAGGGAAGGGAGAGAGGGTCAGCTCTCCATAGGACTGACCCAGGTTTGAAAATTCACAGCAACTAAAGTGCTGAAAGCCAAGCCTCCCACACATCCTTCCCCTATGTGTCAGGAAATAGTGTCCCCTGATTGCTCAATCTCTAAGTCAGATGGCTGGCCTGGAGGGACTAGATGGGTTTTTCGGATACCATCGGACCTTGGGGGAATTTTATATCGACTAAAGCAGATGGAGCAAACTCAATCAATTTTGGAGATCCCTTCAAGATGCTATTCAACTCTTGATGAGCCTCTCTGTCAATTAAGAAGTGTACCTGATATCTGTACTTGGTAAGAAAAATTTTTGTGACTGTTTTTCAGGATGAACAGAACTACACATAAGAAGCACAACTAAAACAAACAGCAGTGATAGCAGCAGACAAGTGATATGGTGTGGTAAAGCCACTAGGCTATCCAGGGAATTTGCTTACTCAGCTCTGTGAAACCATGAGACCTCACTTCGTAACACATAATATAGACTTTTAAAACCTCAGGGCTACACTGACTGTCATAAGCTGCAACGGGCAATAGCTTTCTGTTCCACAAAACAAAACTGAAAAGATGCCTGCCTTGTTCATATTGTGTTGTTTTTTTTATCTTGCTTCCAGGGTAAGTCTATCCATAGATGAACTAGCAATTTCCTGGCTACTGTAATCTCATCCAAATTCAAGGATGCTAAAACCCATGCATTCTCATTTGAACTGAATTTATGTCCTGCCAGCTCAATATCTCCCTCCCCATTTTTCTTCCCAGCCTTCCACTCAGTATGCAACTTTCCTGTTGAACCACAACTGACAGCCCATAGGGAATTTCCAGACTTGCAAACCCCTGCAGGTAGTGTTGCCAACCTGTTGGATGCTGAGACAAAGGAAAGAGAGAGGAATAATGAGACAGACAGGAAGCAGTCAGATGAAAACACCCCAAATATGGAATTATCTCCTCCTTAGTTCCTCTTCTTACCCTCTCAGCTTTCAGCAGTTCTGAATATGAGTCCTAAATTGCCTAAAGTACTTCAGAGAGACAAACTGTTGAACCAGCTAAAAAGTGTTTGTGGCTCCAGACACTTGCCTTGGCTGTGACAGCTCTCAATTTTTTATTGGGGCATAAAGATTTCTAACAAGTTACTACATCCCTTAAGAAGTTTTTTTTCTTTTACAAGTGATTAGGCTTTTGTTCAGAAAAAAAGCAGCTTCTTGGAAAAGGAGCTGCTAGGCCCACTGGAAACAAAATCTAGTAAGAAATAAATGGGGTAGAGGAAAAAATTCTGATATGTCACAGCAAAGTAGCTCAGATCCCAGTATGATTCCTTCCAAGTCTGAAGATACATCCTTGCAGGATCTGATTTTTGAGATCCTTGCAGGATCTGCTTTTTTTGGGTTTTCGCACCCTTACACATGCATCAGTACAGTTGCTTATTCTCCAGCTCATGATTTGCATAGCATGGCATCCCTTAGTGGGGATTAGACCTTGACCACTTGCCCAGTAAAGGCTATCTCCATTACATTAGCCAGCATGGTGATGATTACATCAACTTGCAGTTGTTTCCAGCACAGCTAACTACACTTGCTCAATTTCGATATGCAGTGCAGATCCCAGTAACCATCCCTCCTCTCAGTTCTCAGTTTTCCTCTTTTATTGCCTTCTCCCTGCCCCAATAACCCACACTGCCACCCTCAAGAGGAAAAGTATTTGCAGACTTTTCCCAACAAAACAGCCTGATGCAGGGAATGCTGACTTGCTGTGGCCTTCCTTGTGATTGCTTATTGGCTGAAGTCAATTGCTAACAGCATGGGGACTCGCATTGTGCAATTCACGTGGCTTCTGCTCCTCAGCCCAGCTTTGTGTTTATGCTCAAGGGCATCATCTCTCCTTCCAGCAACTGCACAGGCCAACAATGCTGCTGCTGGCCAAGAGTTTCCTACAGTTACAAGTGCTTGCAAAGTGTGTCATCTTCATGCAGGAGGCCTCAAACTGTTTCTGGGGAAGCAAGCTGCTTCTGTCACGGGTCTCGTTAGAGAAGATGACAATGAAAAGGACAGCTGCCTACCCAGCTGTCCCCAGAACTTCTCACTTCTCCACTTGAAGAATGAGCAGACACCCAGGTGTGAGGTTTTCAATCTCACAGGAGGCAAAGTTAATTAAATGCAGCATTGAATTTTAATTGCAAATAGGTACAGCTGTGTGCCCCACTGGAAACCTCATCTTCTTATGGAGTAGGCTTGGGAATCTCTGGATTGCGAAGTGTAAAAAAAAAAAAAAATTGCTAAGAATCACTACTTTTAGTTTGGACTTGGACCAGGTGCCTGTATCAGTATCTGCAGGGAGATTCTCCTTGTAGTAGGTGACTTGTTCATGTATGACCCTGTTACATTTAGGTTTTAGATGTGAGGGATACCTCGTCTCTGCAGAAGCAGAGGCTTCTTTGGAGAGCCCTTAGTATGAAGCGAGTACCGGCTCGAGGTGCTAAATTTGGCAGATTTAGCCAAGTGACTCTCCTTACTTGTTTTAGTATTTTTATCACCAGTAGCCTGGCAGAGCAGGACAGGACTTTATTCTCAGGGGCCAGGGAATTGCATGTCATCCTCATAAGGAAAGAGGAACTGCTTGCTGCACAATATGACAAGGGATTAAAGAGTTAAAAAAGAAATCCTACACTGAGGAGTTACCTAAGGAAGTTGATTTTTGCCTAAGGCTTATTTGGGATTTTCCTTTCCTGCTACCATGAACTAGCTGAATTTCTGTCAATTTTGTAGTCTTCTGAAAACATGACCATCCCCTCCTCGCTCTCCTCAGACCTCCCTCATCCCCTGTCACCCCGATCCACATACAGAAGAGTGCAAAAGCCTATACTGTCAGCCCCTCTGCATACCTTTGAGAGAAGCAATCAAACTAAACCTGAATTGTGTGTGCTGCCAAGCTGGCTTCAGGATATTTCAGAGGAGAAAAAAAAAGAAGAAGGAAAGACAATCCGTACTTGCAGGGATTTGCTCATGAAAACAAGCAAAAACATGAGGAGCTTTACTGCAGCAGCTGCACTTACATTGTAGTAGCCGTGTCTCTGCTCGGATCCTCCCTGTTCTGCAGTCCCGTAATCCACACAGAGAAATGCCTGTACTGCTCCTCTCGCTGGCACTGCTGTTAGAGTGAGACTGGAACTGCTGCTGTTTTCACTTTCAGACCAGCCTCTCTCTCCAAATCCTCTGACGTCAGACAGCCTGCAAGAGATATTTATGGAATGAACAATCTAAAAGTTTTTCTAGGTAGATTTAAAACCGCAGTTTGGGGGGATCTGTAATTTTTGTGCTCTTGGATAGAAAACCTCTCCAAGGGGTTCATGGAGGAAACTGTGGAGAACTACAGATGTGGTTGTATAAGTCCCTGGCAAAAGGCAGTACCTGTACTTTTCCATCCATGGTATATTATATCCACACCCAGGCTGTAACTATCTGTCACGAAAGTCCCCATTTGGAAAGTGGTTTTCTAGTCTCTCAGCTGTGCTTAAACAGGGTTTGAATCAAGCATGACATAGAGATCTCTCACAGACACACTCCAAGCCCACAGCCCTCTGCTGTGTCCAGGTTTTTACTGGATTTAACTAAAACAGGACTGAAATAGGGCCTTCCAAGCATCTTGTCCACACCTCTATCAGTTTGGCACTAACTCCTTTTGCTGGATTGTTTTCTCAAGCATGTGGGCCATTTTGGCCATCTTCCTTCCTAACTTCAAAATATCTTCTCTAGAAGTGTGTTATCTCAAATAAATACCAGCTCAGGAAATTAATATAGTGTTTGATCTCTATTATGCTCTCTGTATTTGCATCTTTTCATTATTCTTTTGCTACTGTACAGTATGGCTTTTCACCTGCTGTGAAAGCCACTTAGGTGTTATGCGGAAGAGAAGAGATGCTGGAGAAAAAGCGAAACAGTATTAGCATTAATGTTAATCAGTACTTGAAGAGCAAAATGCTCTCGTGGTATAATCCTGCTGAGGTAAGTGGTGATAAATTTGGACTGATAAGACCTCTTTGTTTTGTATTTAGAAGCTGAGCTTGACTATAAGCCTGTAAGTATCAGTAGTCCAATCTAAGAGATGAAACAAGTCTGAAGGTGAAGTGATAAATGGTGAAAGTCCTTGAGTGAGCTTTGCTTGATTACAGACAAACCTTTTTAAGAAGTTCAAAACTTATTCAACACTTTCTGCAGGAGTGTACAAATGTGCTGCTATTATAAGCAACTGGGTTTGGTTATTTTTATACCACATCATTTCCATTTGTAAGCAGTTAAGAAGTATATGCCTTGGTACCACTTTTGGAGATGCAATTGCTATTTCAAAATGTGCCAAGGTTCTTTTCTGTGCAACTTACTAGCTGAGCAAATTTACCATTTGTGGCTGTGTGGACTAGGTTTTTTATATATATATGCTTTTCTCTTTTCTTCTCTACCATTACCAGCTTCTGTCCTGGATTGACTATATGATGCTTTTATCCTTAACCAATAAAAATCATCTGATCAACTTCAAAAGGCTTAAAATCAAATTTTCTCTGATAACTTTCTAATGGCAGCTTTCCCTGTGCACTGTAATATTATCACTATGACCAAAAGCTTTGAGATACATTCCAGAATAAAATGGTATCTCTTTGAAGAGATTTCCACTTTTATACTTACAAGGTGTGTCTACGAATCTGGCAGATGGAGGAACAAGAAAATTATTCCAGTTCCAAAGCGGTATTCAGTCACGCAAAGGAAGTAAAATGTTTTTATATATAAAGAAAAAAATTAAAAGGTACCCAGTTTTGACAGTGCAATCCAAGCAATGACCAAGTGGTGTTGTTGTCCCCTTTGGCTATGAGATTTGTCACTTGTCTGCTTAGCATCAACAAGGATCACTCAGGGATGAGTCCCTGCCTTGTTATGCTGCATGCTAATCTTTTTAAAGATCAACCCTGGAGTTACATTGCTACCTCTTGGCAGTTCGTCCCATGGATATCCAGCAGGAACTCTGAAAGGCAGAGTAATTCAGGGCTTTTCTGTACGATACCCAAGCTGTTCCTTGCAGGGAGTTCCACATCCCACCAGATTTCATTGACTCAGCTCTTCTAAAGCACAGTAGAGGCTCCTGGTGTTTGCTAAAGATGAGATGGCTATCTGTGACTCCTCTTTCTTCTGTTTGGTTCATAAGATTACATTACATCTTCTCCCTGGAGAGTGGAGTAGGAAGAACATGGAAACCCTGACCACCACACAGAAGTAAAGCATGAATAACCACAGTCTGTCTTACAGGCTGAGCCAAGAACAAATTGTATTCCTTTATTTTGAAAGATTTTGCAGCAAAATTGAAATGCCAAGAAACTGAAATTCTCTGTTTACCCATATGTGACATGGACAGTGACAGTTAACCTGTGTCCAATAGCACATTTAATTTCTGTCCTGAAGGGATATGGCCCTTACCATGTAGTTGTTAAAGTAGAAATATTCATCCCATTAGAAATGCTGTAACATTCCAGCTACGGTGGACTAAGAAAGTATCTCTATGAACCTGTTGCATTTCTATATGAAAATGAAAGGTAGAATAGCCAGTTGTATGGTTGTATAGTCATAGCCTCTGCATTGAATCCCACAGGAGTCAATCCCACAAGATGCTACAGAAGCCCTTTCTGGAACACAGCAGTGGGCAATCTGTACTCCTGTTTCCTATACTTGAGAACCCTCTCCATTAGATTGGGAATGTGCATACAAGAGAAAAAAATGTTTCATTTTAAACAGAATTTATTTAAAAGAGTAATTCTCCCAAAAGACACTAGAGACAGGCATTTTTGGTGGATGAGGAGGGCCAGCTTTGGACACTGGACCAACACAAGCATAGGCACTACTCGGCCCTGAAACACAGAGAAAATACAGAGAATTGATTGAGACCCTCTGCATCTCTTGCACATGACTGAAACAAGACAGCATGTGCTCCTCAGATCCAAACCAGTCTAATGCATGTTCACATGTGCAACTGTTGAAGTCCAGTTGTCACTCCCTTAGTGCTACATAACAAAATAATAAACCAAAGGAAATGAAACCCTATTAAAATACTAGTCTTGCTGCCATAGTGGAACAGGCCATTCAGCTCACTAATCTAGTACACTGCCTCAAGCAGTGGTTAGATACCTGATGATTCAGAGCATGAAGAATGGAAAACACACTACATCCAGCCAGTTGTGGGCTGGAACATTACATAAGGATGAGCGGTTGAAGAGAGAAGAGAAATTCTTTCTTGAACCCCATAGCTGATCAGTTTACACATTTAAGTATGAAGTTGTTTCAGATGCTGGGGTTTTTTCCCTTGCACTGGTATTGCTATGTATGTTATTTCTGCATATATTTCAGTTTGGGAAACTGCCAGGTTTTTTTCCAATCCACTGAATTCAGGAAATGCAAAGTTATGGCATATGTTCAAAGAATAGCACACACCAAAGCATGCAGAGAGCTCTATCTTTGTCCTCAGATGCACACAGCCTTGGCCCTAGTTTTTAAATCCACCCGGTGATTTTCCTTTCATTTTGAATGATGGAATTCTATTTACTGTGTACTCTTGGCCCTGGATTTAATTCTCCATTGCACTGACCAGAGGGAAACTAGCTACAGGTCTTGTAGATATCTTAATTTCCAAGGCTTGAAGCAGCATCATGGCTTACCAAGGATTAGTAAACAGTTTAAGTGATTGGCAGGAAAGCTGGTGATGTGTTGCAGATAAACATGTGCCAGCAAGAAGGATTGTTCTAAGACACTACCACAGCTACCTCTGAATTGTATAAGGGATCATACTCTAATCAAGAAAGGGGGAACAAAGCACTTTCTGGAGCTATACAGCATGTACTTGAGGTATTTCTTTAGCCACAATGGACCATGCAGAGCACAGGAAGTGTCTAAGTATCATAATCAATGTATAGCACTGAACTGACAGCATTTTAGACTCAGTTTCCTCCAGAATCAGAGGCAACACAAATTAAGAATCAATGGAAAATAAGGCTCACACAACAGAAGGAACATTTAGAATTAAAAGTAATGCAGTGTTAAGTAGAGTAATACTTACAAAACCTTAATCTCTGCAGCACATTGTGACTGAACTCAGAGTCTGAAGCACAGACTGGACTTCTCAAACTAAATCAGCAACTTAGATGGGCAGTATTCATACATGAGAGTAGACAGAAGGCAGCACTAGCTGACAACACCCTGCCTCCACCACCAACACAGGAAAGAGTGAGCTTTGTCCCCCACAGGGAGCTGTGGCTAGGCTCTGACTCCTTTGCAGAACTCAATTGATGAAAGAGATTTGAGTAGGCAAGACTACTTGGAGAGTTGGTAACTAAACTAAACAACTAGACAACTAAATTGTTCTGCAGACATATAACATCAGAATTAAACAACATTTTGTAATATATCACAGCCTGACTAGCTACTCCCAGCACTATCTTAGATCCATTTTGTTTTCCACCAAAAGCTGTATAGTGAATTCAGGTTAACCAGGGTCCTTTGAGAGCTTTGTGGGATAACAGTTTCTTGGCTTCTTTTATTCACATACTGTAGTGACAACTGTTAAAGTGGAGATGCTTCAAAGAAGCCAGAGAAAAACATATGCACTCAGTAGAAATACCAGCAATTATATACCATATTAACAGCAATCATCATGTATTACAGCGGAGCCTAGGTAGGAAGGAGAGTTCGATTCCATGGAATGTATCAAATTTAGGTGTCTTGACTGTTGTTTTGGGATTTTTTTCTTTTATTTCCTAGACATTCTCTTTTCTTGCAAAAAGATTTATTTTTAAAAGACTCCAGGAAGCCAGGAGAGCCTATTAGACTGGCAATTATCCTGAGTCACTTCCTACAATGGTTTAAAACTCAGAAAATCTTTGTTGTGGGCATGAATGCAAAAGTATATCAGTGGCCCACAGAGTTAAACCAGTAAACCTGAAAAGAGTAATAACTTACAGCTAGTTACATCACATTTTTAATTACATTGAAAGATTGTCAAGGTTGGAAAATCAAATGCTGAAAAATTATAAATAGAAAACACATTATGATATGGATATGTTTAGCCACTACCCATGTATAACAGCTGTGGCAGAACATGGGATG